TGGTTCCTCTGCCTGCCTTGCAAGAGCAAGGTCCTGAGTTCGATCCTTGGTACGAAAAAAAAGACAGAGAAAGCAAGAGGCTGGGGTCCCCTGTGGCCTCTTGTTCGTTCCGTCCACAGACCGGGCTCCTGTTGGGCTCTGTAACTCTGTAGGAGGTGCCGGGGCTGCTCCTGTCCTGAGGATGGCACAGGCTCGCCAAGTGCACAGGCTGCTGTGGGAGCTGCAGGGGAAGGGACTGTCGCCACGCCCAGCCGGGGGAGATGATACCAGTGGAGTCTGGGAGTGGCTTTACCGGGGAAGAAATGAGGAAGGGGTGTCCCAGGCCACAGGGATGGCGGGTGCAGAGCTGTGGGTGTGAGCGTGGGGTTTCTCTGGGCAGTGTTAGTTTTGCATGGCTGGAGGTTAGGTGTTGGTCCCACTTAGCAGACAAGAAAACCGAGGCACAGGGCTAGTCAGTAGGGTTTCTTCCGTGACACACAGTGGAAACTTTTGGAGAGAGGCCTGGACATACAACGGGATACTTCTGACCAGAGTGAAACACCGCACATAATACCACTCACCATGGCCCACCCCTCTACGCACAGAAAAGATGCACTGTGGGGTCCAGGGCTGCGTCTGTCCCCAGCAGAGGACCCTGGGCCTCCTGCGGGCTTGCCCCTTGTCCCGGGAGGCCATCCTGCCTGCTTCCTGCATCCCCAGCAGAGGCTGTGGGAATGTTCTCTGAGTCCTGTCACCGTCGGAGCGTCTGTTGCAGACAAGGCGACTGCACGCCTCTCTGTCCTCGGCCCTGGCCAGCCCATCCATGCTGGGACATGGGGAGGTCAGGCAGGGGGGCTGCTGGGGTTCTGCTGCTGCCATTGCAAAACTCTAGGCACCAGGGCTCCCCCTGAGGTTTGTGCGGCCCTTGCTGAGGGGGTCAGCTGGAGGATGCGGGAGATGCTGTCTGCCTGCTCCCTGCAGGCACAGCGCCCCAGGAGAGGAAGGTGCGCCTCGACGTCCACACTTGGTCAACCGTGGCCTGTAGGTCTTCAAAATTCACCCAAGGCCCAGCGTGGTTGTGTGACCACGACGGGGCAGGGAGTGGGAGGCAGAGGGAGCCATAAGGGTCTTGGCTGGCGGGCAGCACTGCAGGCTGAGGATCAGACCTAGTGGGCTTCCAGAAGTGGGTAGCTCTGGCCTCCATCCCTGCCCCTAGGCCCTCGGAGGCCGTGGTTCAAAACAAAACTCTGTAAAGAGGGACTGGGGGAGGCATCTGGAACCTAGTAGGTGCCCAAGTGTGTGTCTCTGGGCGCCTGGGGGCCTGGGGTGGGCACTGAGGCTTCCTAAGACCCCTGAGGCCTGGCCCACAGGCAGGGGCTCATCTGCAGCGAAAGCACAGCGGTCGGAGAGGGGAGAGGGGAAGCCAGGAGGAAAGGCGGCCAGACCTCGTGGGCCCCTGGGTACAGGTGGAAGCCAAAGGGGGCTGGACAAGTCTCCAAGCCTGGCCAAGGCTGCAAAGCGAAGCCGCCCTCCAGCCCTCTGTGCCTGACCAGGCTGGAACTTCTGGGGAGTGGCAGCCACTTCAGAGCCCTGATGCTCTGCCGGCCCCTGCGTGCCTTCCTCTTCTGCAGCCAGACAGGGATGGCCCCCGGGCCGGGCAGAGATGGTCCCAGACTTGGGGGCCACAAGTTGAGGACTACGGGTACCTGCTGCGTGTCGGGCTTTCTTCCCTCCTAAAGCAGGGCATGAGGCTGATCCCCTGGGGCCCAGGGTCCCCTGCCTGGCACGGAGGTCTGCCCTGTGTGGCTCTGCGGCGCTGTCGCCTGCAGCCTTTCCCTCTCAGCCTGGCAGTGCAGTCTTGGTGAGGCTGACCGTGCCCTGTGCTCTTGGCCCCTCTTCCCCTGGAGGAAGGGAAGTCTGCGAGGCTCGTTGGTCGGATTTTCCATGGAGCTGGCTTCCTGGCCCCTCGTTACTTCTGCACAGGCTTCTGAGAGACGCAGCCGTGCTTCCTGGATGCTTGTCGGGCAGTGCCGTGCTGTGTTGGCTCCTCCTAGGGTGTCAAAAGCTTAGCCTGCCTGGCACCCAGTCCCTGGTGTTTCTGAGTTAGTCAGGGCTTCACGGCTGGGACAAGACACCTGCCGTACCCAACTCACGTTTCAGAGGCTCAGTCTGTGGCCGGCTGGCCCCATGGCAGAGGGGCTCGGCAGAGGAAAGCCGCTCACCTCATGGCATCCAGGCAGCAAGGGGGGAAGAGCCAGAGAGGGAGACCAGGGACCAGGAGTCCCCAGGGCCCCACCCCATCGCCCACCCGGGCCCAGCGGGAAGTGGCCTTGCTAATCTCAGAGGCACCTCGGCCAATCCAGCTGGCAGGCAGATTACGCGTCACACTTCCCACCAGAACGTCCACTCCCAGGACCCCTCTGCTCCACGGCGACCACTCCATCCTTTCGGGCTCGCCTGCCCCGTGTGCGGTGTGCACACCTGCAAATCCCCGTGGATTCACTAAAGCCAATCCAGCTGCTTCTTACCGACTGTCCCACCGCACTCATCTGTTCCAACCCTTCTCTAACCTGTGAGGCCCCACACGGCTGCTCTGCATGGACTGCTGGCCCCCTCTCCAGCCAGACTGCCGCTCCAGAACGCTGCCACTCACTTCTGCCCCAGGACCTTGGTACCGTCCCTTCTCTTGCTGACCTGCCCCCCCGGTTCCACATGGAGCCCCCCATTCCTGAGACATCACCTTCTCAGGGAGGCCTTCCTGACCACCATCTTTAAACTTGCAACACCTCGCCTCTCACACGGTCCCTCCTTTATTGCACTTGCCACCATCTAACGTACTGTTTTATTATCTGCATCTCCTCAGCTCCATCGGCACGTACGGGGAGGGAACTGGGGACGTGGCTCAGTGGTACAGCGCTTGCCTAGCACACTCCAGGCCCTGGGTTCTGAGCCAGAAAAAAAAAGGACAGGAGTGTGTGTCTCCGATACCTTGGATTCTCAGGCTTACAGATGCTCGCAGTGGCTCCAGAATCAAACCTGGGCTCATACGGCCGTGGATGAACGTGGGAGGGAGAGACCTGGAACACAGGACAGCACTCTGAGCTCAGACCACAGGCCGCAGGGAAGGCACAGGGCTCGGGACGGCTCCAGCCAGAAGAAAGGAGCAGCTTGGTCAGCGTGCTCTTGGCAGCAACCAGGAAATTGCTGCAGATCCCGAGCAAGTCGTCCCCTGCCCCAGCCTCTTTGTCCTTGCTGGGCCAGCGACGGAACGGAGGCTTCCTCTGCTGGCCCCACGGAAGGCCGGCCCTGTCCTACTGGGTGCACGGTGGCCTCTGCCAGTGCCCCTGGCTGCTCCTTCCTCCTCCTGTGCCACCCACTTTTCTGGCTCTGGCAGGAAGTGCCGGTGGCTGGTGTGTGCCCAGGAGGAAGTAAGAGGCGGGAGGACAGCGGTACCCTCCTACCTGGCACCACCCTCTGCCCAACACCCCTCAACACCCACTGCGCTGCCCTGGCACCAGTTGCACAGAGACAGCCCCAGATGTCTCCCTGGCCCGGGGACAAAGGCCACACTGTGCCTGGCCCGGGACTGGCCTCGGGCTGTGTCACACTGAGCCCTTCTGTACCCAGTTGGGGTGACAGGCAGACGGCACCAAGGTGACAGGCCTTCCTCCTGTCTCCCCTCCCCCTCGGGCAGCCCCCAAGGAGCTGACTCTCCCAAGAGAAAAGTGACAGAAGCATCTTGTGTCTCGAGCTCGGAACAGACCAGCCTCTGACCCGCCTGCCCTGTCACACCCAAGACCCTGCCGGGTTCAATGCCCTGATTGTCCCCAGCAGAGAAGGCGGCGTCTGCGCTGTGCTTCGGTCACCGCTCATCACATCAGGAAGCCCATCCCTGCGTCTGCCTGCCATCCCTCTGGGGCAGTGACAGCCACTTCCCCTTAGTCCCTTCGCCAGCAGTGGAGGACAGCTGGTCCCCATCCTTCTGCATTGCTGTGGCCTCAAGTCCGCTGCCCCAGTCCTCTGCTCCCAATGTCACCCTGTCACACCCTTCAGCCCAGGCCCCCTGAGCTGGTAAATGAAGCTGGAGGGGCTGGCTTCTGTCCTGCAGAAATCTGGGCCTCCCTCCCCACAGCTTTGGAGGAGCTCCCCTCCCCTGCACTAAAGCCAGATTCCCCGCAGCTCCCAGTGGATTTCCTGAGCCGCAAACGAAACTCCCTGGCCACCCCTTGAAGGCCAGGCTGCAGGACGGCTTAGTGTGGAAGCCCTGTTTGGGGAGAGGGGTGTGCTGGTCCCTCTCGGCCAGCAGAGCCCCCCGGGAGCCAAGCGCCCATCCCAGGGTAACTGGGATGGGGCCAGGGCACCAGTCTGTGCAGCGCCAATGTGTTGCTTCGAGGGCAGAGAAGGCTCCTCTCCCGGGGGCTGCTGCTCCCTGGCCTCCTTCCCTCCCGCCCCTGTCCTTTCCTGCCTCAGCTCAGAGCACAGTTGGAAGCCGGGTGGATAATGATCCCTTCCCTGCACCCAAAATGCTTCCCTGCCTCGGCTCCAAGTACAGGCCGAGGGAAATGCTGCTGAAGACTGCACTTTCCCCTGGGCACTGTGACGGTAAAACCTCAGCTACTCCAGGGACCAAGGCAGGAGGCTCACAGGATTGAGGCTGGCCTGGGCAGCTTAGCGTTTTCCTTGCCTGGCATGGTCCAGGCAGGTCCTGGGTGTGTGTGATCCCCACGCAGCACGGGTGAGAGAGGAGAGCTCAGTTCCAGAAGCTAAGGGCGAAACCCAGGAGTCTGAATTTCCCATTGCAGTGCTGGACGCTTATGTTCAGCGACTTTGAACACAACTGATATGTACTGTGGATGCTGCCGTCCTGCCTGCTGGGAGAGGGGACCTACTGGGTAGGGCCCGTCTGAGCTTCCTGTCTGCACATCTGCACACAGGGCCCAGGCAGCGGCTGAAGCTGGCTGGAGAAAAGGGGGCATGGATGGGGGGCCAGGATTGTCTGGGGGGAGTGGGGGCTGAACTCCATACGGACAGGGACCATGCTTTACACACCTGTGAGCCCGTGCCTCAGCCAGTAGGTGCTCAGCCCTTGATGTGTTGCACTGAGCCAGCCTGCAGAGCTCCCTGGCTGGCCGCAGCCATTTGAGCTCAACGCCGAGAGGCACCAGCCTGGGCCCAGGTGGCCAAAGTGTGGGGGTGGCCAGGAACTCGCAGGGCCAAGGAGGGGACCCTTTCCAGGCCGGCTGAGGACACAAGGACATGATCATTAACAAAGCAAACTTGTTACTGACCCATAATCCCTTAAACCAGGAGGATTCGGGAGGGGCCCCGATTCCTTGGCAACCAGGTGCTGGCCAGCAGCAGGGCTGAGCATCCTCCCGGAGTGGGCTGCAGGTGTGTGGGGACAGCCAGGAAGGAGGCGGGCCTTCCCTCCACGGGTAGGCAGGCGTGGGGCGTGGGCCTTTGTGCGGCCCACAGGGGGCTGGTACCAGATTGTGTGTGAAGGGCTTGTCCATGTGAGGCTCACGGACCAGGAAGGCTCCCCGGCTGCTGACTGGTTCACACGCTTACAAGGTGTCGCAGAGCAGCCAGTCCTGGGGACCCCTGACCTTCAGGTTCCAGTGGATGCAGGTCCTGACGGACTCCCCAGGAGAAGGGGCTTTGAGGGCACAGGAAGTCGGTTGGGTACCACCTCAAAGCACTCGGAGTGTGCTGACAGCCCCGGGTGCAGCGGCATGCGCCTGTCATAACCATTCAAGAGGCTGAAGCGGGGTTAGAGGGTTTAGATCAGACTGGGCACAGGGGGATCGAGTCTCAAAATACAAAGGTGGGGGGGTGGCTCAGCGGGAGAGCTCCTGGTTTGCACCCCGAGTCCAAAAAGGACGAGGCAAGTTTTGCAGCATGCAGGACAGCAGACTGGATGAGAAGAGGGGATCCTGCGTTCACAGCTGGGGTACAGCTGGGCATCACCTTGTGCTTCTCTTCCATCCGTCCCAGGACCCCAGTGCTGGCCCCTGACAATCATGAACAAGATGAAGAACTTTAAGCGTCGGTTCTCACTGTCGGTGCCCCGCACGGAGACCATTGAGGAGTCTTTGGCTGAGTTCACGGAGCAGTTCAACCAGCTCCACAACCAGAGGAACGAGGGTGAGGCCCGGCCGACCGACAGACAGGCAGACAGACCGTCCCACCTGCCCTCCGGGCCCCCACCGCAGAGCCTGGGAGGAGGGTGGGGGTTCAGGGGCCCGGGCAGGTTGGCAGGGACGGGAGCTGACTGCTGCTTCCTGTCCCACTCAGACCTGCAGCTCGGTCCCCTCGGCACAGACCCGGCCCTGGAGCCCAGCGCCTTCTCCCCCACAGATGGCGGGGAGGATCCTGGGAGACTGTCCCCCAGCATGCAGTACCGGCGACCGCAGAGCCAGCGCCGCTTCTCCATGGAGGTGAGGGCTTCCCTTCCTTCCTGGTCCTGCACAACGTGCAGAGGTGTGGGGAGCTGTTTCGGAGCCAGACTTTGGGTTTGAATCCCAGCTGTGCTGTTCCTTAGCTCTGTGACATTAGCGATGCACTCAACCTGTGTTCTCCAGTCTCCCTGTCCTTAGGGCGGTCTAGGTGAGGAGTAAATGGGTTAATATATGCCAAGTGCTCCAGACATTCCTGGAACATGGCAAAGGTGGAACAACATGACTATTGTTCTTTGCCCCGTATACGTGTGCCAAGAACATGGAAAATAAGCTCCCAGAACTCCAGTATCTGTGAGGGCAGGAGATGTAGGTTCTCCCTCTGCACAGGTGGTGATGCTGTGGTCCTGAGGGGAAAGAACCCCCTGAGGTCACATAGCAACCCCAGGTGGTCCCCCGTGTCTCTGGGACACCCCCAAAGCGGCTGTGAGCCTGGGTCCCAGCCTGGGAGCTGGCCCTGCTGCAGTTGCTCTACAGGGAAAGCGAGACCCAGAGCGAGAGTGCGGGCCCGCAGCCCCCTGGGAGCCAGCGCCGTGTCCCTCTGCCACTGCAGGACATCAGCAAGAGGCTCTCCCTGCCCATGGACATCCGCCTGCCGCAGGAGTTCCTGCAGAAGCTACAGCTAGAGAGCCCAGACCTGCCCAGGCCCCTCAGCCGCATGTCCCGCCGAGCCTCCCTGGTGAGTCCCAAGAAGGTCAGAAATCATTAGGGTACAGCCCGTCTCCCTGGCCTGGCCTGGCCCAGCTTGGCCAGCTGAGGCCCATAGTGGTTTTCAGAAAGCTCTCTGGGCCTCTGGCGCCACCTGCTGGCCGCAGTGCTTGAAGACCAACACAGGCATTTGCTACAGGTTCCCAAAGGAGCTGAGTTCTAAGCGGCTCTGAGCACAGCTGGCCTGTGCTCCCCAGTCTTAGCCATTTTTTTGAGCATCTTACAAAACAAAGACCCTGGGCCTAGTCCAGGCCCCCGCAGAATCAGCCTCTCTGGGCGGAGCCTCTGGCTGCTCTCCCTGTTGAGAGCTGGCTCCTCAGCTAGAAGGAAGGGTGTGCTGCTGGGAGGCACCGAGAAGTGGCTTCCAAACAGACACCGTGTGACGGAGAAAAAGACACCGCGTCTGCCGGGTGGAGCTAGCGATGCGAGCAAGACCGATGGGAGCAGGGCAGCCACACAGCCCTGATGGTCACAGGCAGGAGGCATCACTCTGCTGTCATGGGGTGGAGGGAAAGAGTCTGAGGTGCTCTCTGCACCACCGGGGGTCTCGTTCCCATCCGTCCCAGAGGCTGCAGGGTGGGGGCTCTGGGGCCTCGGATCTCACAGCAGCCTATCTTCCTCCAGTCAGACATCGGCTTTGGGAAACTGGAAACGTATGTGAAGCTGGACAAGCTGGGGGAGGTAAGGGCTGGGGTGTCCCCTCCAGCGACAGACACGGGTCCTCCCCACGGTCCCCCCTCCAGAGGGGGCACGCCCCCTCAGCCACGAAGCCTGGCCTAGCCTTTAGCAAGTGTGGCTGGGGCCCTGGTCCTGAGCAGGACTGGAGGACAGAGCAGCCCATAGGTCCTGGGCACAATCCAGTCTCTGTTCCCGAGTACTCACCACCTGGATTGAAACCCCAAGTCTACCATTGGCTCTGTGACCTTGGGCAAGTTACTTGACCTCTCTCTGTGCCTCAAGTCCCTCCTCTGTCGAACAGGACTAATTTTAAGGGTACATGATAAGCACTTAGCTCCTGGCACAAGCAAGGGCCGTGTCACTAAGCTGATTCTGCAGCACTGTGTCGGGCTGTGTGTCAGAGGCCTGGGCAGGCTCAGGTTCACAGGAGGAGGAAGGCCCTTTCCCAAGGAGGAGACAGTGTCACATGAGGAAATTGACACTGGCAGCGTAACGGAGGGTGTCCAGGGCCAGAGGAAGGAGCAGTGCATTTTGACCCGGAAGCTATTAAGGGCTCTTCACAGAGGAAATGGACTTTGGGGGAAACAGAATTTCACGAAAAGCAAAGCCCTCGTGATAAAGGGCCCAGCCCAAGCACCAGAGGGGGGACTCTGGGCCGAAGAGAGCAGCACCCAAGGGCTGACAGGTGGATTCTCCCACCCAGGGCACCTACGCCACCGTCTTCAAGGGGCGCAGCAAGCTGACAGAGAACCTGGTGGCCCTGAAGGAGATCCGGCTGGAGCATGAGGAGGGTGCGCCCTGCACTGCCATCCGAGAGGGTACATACGGTGGCCTGGGACCCACACTCCCCAGAGGCGTTGGGGGAGGCTCAGCAGCCTGCGTCCTAGTGGGAGCCTGGGGGAAAAGGACGTAGGGCCTCAGGCAGGCCTGTCTCCCCAGTGTCGCTTCTGAGGAACCTGAAACATGCCAACATCGTGACCCTGCATGACCTCGTCCACACAGACCGGTCCCTCACGCTGGTGTTTGAGTACCTGGTGAGCCAGGCCGAGGCTGGTGGCCTCTCCCACCTGTGGCCGGGGTGATGGGGTGGGGGGATGAGGGAATAGGAGATGGGGAGCTAGCCCTGAATCTTGTTCTAGATTCAGGCTTTCAGATGCTCCTGGGCAGGGACGGACCAAGGGCTCAGGCCCAGCAGTAACTAAGAGCCGGGGGCTTGGGCCCTGCCCAGGGAGGGGCTTCCTCTCCTTATGGTGCACTGAGCCAGGCCCCGTGTCGCAGGACAGTGACCTGAAGCAATATTTGGACCACTGTGGAAACCTCATGAGTATGCACAATGTCAAGGTAAGGGCCTCCAAGGCTGCACCCCGTCCTTCCTGACTCCGGGTAGCCTGGGCCCTTCGTGCTGGGGACCCTGGGCTCTGAGCACGCTCAGCGCTTCACGTGCTGGAGAGGGATAGGGCACTGCCATGCAGTGAGCCCAGGACCTGGGAGGGGCACCTTGCCCAGAGCAGAGACAGAAGCCATCCGCCACAGTCCGGCCGGAAAGCCTGGCTCTAACACCGAGCGTCAGTGTCGCACTGTCAGCTGGCGCCTGTGCTGCCTGCCGGGATGCAGGGGGAGAGACTTCTGGAGTTTGTTAAAGAAGGAAGTGCACCTGCCCCACTGGGGCGGCTTCCTGCCCCGCTCCACCCGACACGACACACTCCAACTTGGGGACTCGCTTCCTGCACTGTCTCTGCCTCTTCCACGCACCTGGGCCCCGCTCTGGCTGGGATCCCTCATGTACAGGGCCCAGGATGGGCGTGGGGTGGGTAGGAGCCAGGCAGGCACCCCAGGGACTTGTGTTGACGGCCCCCGTCCCATTTCCTCCCCATCTTGAGGCAGAGGCTCCAGGCTCCCAGGAGGACAGTCTCCCCCCTTCTACTTCTCTCTCTCCCCGGCTCCCCAGATTTTCATGTTCCAGCTGCTCCGGGGCCTGGCCTACTGCCACCGGCGCAAGATCCTGCACCGGGACCTGAAACCCCAGAACCTGCTCATCAACGAGAGAGGCGAGCTGAAGCTGGCCGACTTCGGTGAGGCCAGGGCGGCGTGGGGTCCGACTCACTGGGGCGCCCGCCACCCCAGGATGTGGGTGCCACGGGGAGGGTTTTGCAGTCAACCCTGTGAGCAAAGGTTCAGGGAGTCGCTGTCCCCAGGCCTGGCCCGGGCCAAGTCTGTGCCCACAAAGACCTACTCCAATGAGGTGGTGACCCTGTGGTACAGGCCCCCCGACGTGCTGCTGGGGTCCACGGAGTACTCCACGCCCATCGATATGTGGTGAGTGTGACTGAGGGGAGCCGGGGACCCCGCCCGCTTAGACTCCGGAAAGAACCACCGGCCTCCTTGAGTAGAAGCCGCGTGGGCGGGTGCCTTTGTGGATGCTAAAACATCAGTCTGCAGTAGATTATTAGGGTTCCTGCATCTGAAATAGCACCTCCGTGCCCGTACTTCTGAATTGGGGGCTTGCAGGTTACCTGAGGGTACTGGGGGTCCCTCCCTACAGTAAACATGATGAGTTTCCCCCAAGCATCAGTTCTCCTGGTAATTTTGGAAGGAATACTTATTTTTACTTTAAAATTAACAAATTCGTGACTTGGCATAAAAAAGGAAAACCAGTCCAAATTTGAAGCTAAAGTTTAGATTTCTGCTGAATGCTCCCTGTGCCCGTGCCAAGGGCTTCCTAGGAGACCAGGGTGTGGGCCTCTATTCTTGCCGGCCCCGGGCATGCAGACCCCCAGCCCAGCGGGAGAGGGAGAAGTCCGGTGTGGGGGGCCGTCCTCGGTACCCGGATGGAGCAGCCCTAGGAAGGGCGGCCGCTCCTCCCTGACACCCCGCCTCTCCTTGCTCCCCGCAGGGGCGTGGGTTGCATCCACTACGAGATGGCCACAGGGAGGCCGCTCTTTCCCGGCTCGGCGGTCAAGGAGGAGCTGCACCTCATTTTTCGCCTCCTCGGTCAGTCCCTTGCCGCACCCTCGCTCTGGCCACCAGAGGGCGCCAGCGCTCCGCCCAGCCCCTCGGGGCGATCGCAACCCGGCAGGACCCC